GTGTTAGTTGTAAGAGCCCTAGCAGCAATTCTACTAGCTGCATTCTACTCACTTTGGTCCTCTGAGCTCAATAAGAAGGTAGTTCTCGGCTGTGTCTAACTTGAGTTGGTAGACTGGATTAGACTGGTGTGTGTCTGGATAGTTACCACAGCCCCCTGCTGTCCTGCCTTTCCACTGCCCTGTCAACTGGAACATGGAATAAATTACCTTCATTGTGGGTGTGGCCATACTGAATGATTGACAGGCTGATAACCTCATGGTAATGGCTTGATTATTTCAAACTGTGAATTCTATAGATACTGTATTTTTTAGTATTGAATTCTTAAAATTAGAACATTCCGGTTGACTGTGATAATGCAATTGAAAAGCACACCAACTAATAGTTCTATTTTATACAGTGAAAGCACCAAAATGCCACATGGAAATGTTTTTTATGATTCCAAAATAATGTCTAAAAAATTGATATTTTTCCCTGTTGAAATGATATAGTACCATATTAACAAATAGGATTTTTTTTCATCTGGAATATTCTAACCATATCAGGTTAAAATGTCTAAAATTGCAACTGAGAAATATGGAGACCAAATTGTTAGCTTTACATAATAAACAAATATTATCATTACATTCTTGCAGGTCTAGAAGCAGGGTTGTTAGATGTAAACACAGGACATCTCTTGCTGGTTTTTGTCCTGTATTGTTTCATAGCTATTCAGTTTAATGGCACAGGGGGAAAAGAAGATACCTCCAAAGCTAGGAGGTCAGGAATGGGGTGGGGGCATGATCCAATACCCCCCCCCCACCCCCCAGCTGTAGACTTGGACCTTAATTTCACCTGTTTCTCATATTTTGGATTATAGGGTTCCATGATCTTGCTGAAGACAAACTCGCAGGTAGAGTACACTCTCAGTGTGTAGTGAATAGTGTTGTTCTTCTCATACTGCGACGTAACCAGCGTGTACGTGGAGGAGCCGTTCACATCCTCCAGCATCTTGCATAGATAATGCGGGCTGTTGATTCGGACGCCATCTTTGTATGGCGGAGGGTCATCTGCAAATATAATCACACCAATCTGAAATAGCATCATACAGGGGCGGATTTAGGCCGTCTTCTGGGTCTTCCAGAAGACGGTCAGATTTTCAAGTTTACATTGACGGGTATCCAATTTTTCATGTTGGAAGACGGTCAAAATTGAAGGATGAATCAACAAAGATAATTTGGAAGACTGTCAGTAAATAGCTCTGGATCCGCCCCTGTCATAGTACCATTATATACCTAAAACATCTTTAAATTTGATTCTGACAAGAATACTGATCCTTGATGTCAAATGTTTTTGTAGTCACAAATTAAGAGGACAATATCAGTACTCTTGAGTTTCACAACCCATACAAATAAGCTGCATTTGTATATTTCATACTACATACACTAGGAACCCAACATGATGGTAATGCTTTCTCTAGAAATGAAATGTCACAGTGCAGTTATTTTACATACTTCAATCCATGTACTTACAAGGATAAAATACTCTCTTTCCTGACCCCTTGTAAACTAAGACGGTGATAAATTCCCTGTTGTTGGCAAAATCATCCTAAAAACAATATATAAACTGTAATTTATTTCATTTCCAGTCAAAATAGAAAACAAACACATGTATGTATAAGTCTGTTGAGCTGCTTGTGCAAAAATATGAATTCGAAGTAACTGTGAACTTATGTATATGTGTGTGTGTTTGTGTGTGATTGTATTAATTGTTGAGTTCATTAAGCCGTGTGTGTGTGTGTGTGTGTGTGTGTGTTTCAGATCATGGACAATGGTGTCATCCAAGTATCACAAGTTACTCACCCTATCCTTGATATGTCTAGTCATCAGTATCCAGACAGCAGCTTTGGTTGGGTGTGGTGACTTCAACTCCAGTCGGTATTGGGGATTATCTCCGATGTTGTACACATCTTTCTTGGGACCTTCTTTGGCTGTCCATGTGCTGGAGAAAAATACTGAGACATATGAAACTCTGTCTCATGATAAAAATTCAAATTGTACATTGTGTGTTTGAATTTGCAGTGAAACTAACAGTAAATATAAGATGCTAAATAAGTTAGTCTGAAATATTGCTCATGTGTGTGTGTGCGTGCGTGTGTGTGTGTCTAGAACATGCATAGAGATTATATGTCATCATGCAGACAATTCACTGAAATAAGAAAAAGAATAAAATAGAACATATGATGAAACTACACTTGTGAAGAAATCACAAATACGTGCAAATTTTGTACTATCAACAGATTGCATCCCAAAATATCTCTATAAACAAATCAACTTAAAATGAACAGCTCTACATGTATATCCCACTTTCAAATTGATCTTTTAGACACTATTATATCACTATTTAAGATGATATCGATAATCAACTTACTGGTGGTAGCAAGTTGTATGTCCAAAAAGCTCTGGATTCCAGTTCACATAGATCACATCATAGAACCTCAATATGGACTCATAGTCTATCCAAAATACACCTAAATGACAACATACATATATCAATTCATAGACCCTCAATACAGACCATGAGTCTTCCCTTTATTTGTTGAGGGTCAAAACAGAGTACATGTAAATATTAAATTTATAGCAAAGTGTACCTCCCATAACATGAATATACATAAACTCATACTCACCATTGTCAATCATCTGAGCACTCTTGGGGTCAAAATTCAAGGCCTTCTGGAGCTGAGGTGTCCAGTTTGCGGTGTCCCTCTCAGAGAAATTCCCCTTCCAGCACAGATGACTCCACGGGTTCTTCAATTGCATCAACTTCTTACCCTGAAACAAAAAAGAATAAAACAATTTAACTAAATTTTGAGACATCTCAGAGAAATTCAACTTCCTGCAGAGATAAATCCATGGGTTTTTTTAATTACACCAACTTTTTACTGGCAGCATTCTACATACCATGATTTCACGTATGTCCAACATGGCGTACGCATGAGTGGGAACAAGACCAGCCCGTTCTCCCTCTGCATCGGACATCTCCCCTGTTGCCACGGTAACCAGACAGTGGCCTTTATGGAAGCGGTCCATAATTTTGCTGAATTCTTTATCTTTGTTGAACTCAGGGTTGTTGGGTCTGATGGCAATGCGTTCTGGGATCCAGCCGGTAAGCGCGTGCAGATCTATGTTCTGAAAATGGAAAAGGAATGGCTGTTAATAAAAAAATGCTAATATCCACTTTAATGTTTAGACTTGTCTATTTGCCATTAGCTATTTCTAGTTGTGGCAGCTCATTAGAAAGGTGGTAAAATACAGGGGGTCAACTTTTTATTCTCTCACTTAAAGGAAATAAAATGTATTTCAGCTTTGGAAGAAGGAGTTCTCCATTGGAAATGCTGCTTGCAGAATTGTTGGAACCCAAACAGAGAAAATGTAGAAAGCAAAACAGATTACATTTCATAAATTTTTTTTCCATTTTTCTAAGCAAAATTTACCTTTTACTAGTACAGATCTACAGGGAATGATATTGCACTGGCTTTCAAGGAAAATTGCTCAAAATCAAGTCATGATCACTTCTATTGCCCAGACCACTTACTGAGTTAGAGCCAGGGAAATCATACCCTCCCATCACCTTCAGGTATGCCTTCTCCAGTAAAGACACCCATAACTCATTCTTATTGGCAGAAAACGAACACAACAATTCCCCATCATAGCCCATTGGCAAGAAGTCGTCTATGATAACCTGAAATTGACAAGGGGATCATGAACTCTTTCTACATAAAAACTGATTTCATCTTTAATATTTTTATTATTTCTGGAACCTGCTATTATGATACTTATTTTGTAATTATTTCAACATTAAATTCATAAAGTTGACACAAAAATGTTAAAGTATTTAAACTGGAAATAATTATTTCCCCAGTGGAAGGCTAATCAAATTTTTCACTGGTCTTTTTAACAAAAGTCACAAAAGATTCAAAGTAATTGATTCTAGTCAAATAATATACAAATATTGACTTCCACCGAGTTGACTTTAATGTAATATTTTCAAATGGAATGTCAAATTAAAAAAAAAAGATCCTGTGGAATGCAGTGTGACATCAATGGGATGAAATATTCTAATATTTCACAGTGCGGGCCGACACATGATTTTTTTCTCGGTATATACAATATTGTTATTTGACCAATGAGAAAAGCAGGTATATTGGTGATTAATAAAAATATATGTGTATTAAATTGTTTACCATAACTAGCTTTTTAAATAAAACTATTGTAAAGGCAGGGATGGCTTTTGGGCAATACATACTTTCCTATGGACCCCGTTTATGTTGAATTTGACCATGTATTTTCCACAAGGGTTATACTGGGGTTCTCCATTTCTATTCTGGGGATATATGATACTGGAAATAAATTAGGCAATTAGATATGAAGAAACATATAACACAAAACAACAACCCAGGTAATAATATAATTTAATCTTTTACAATAAAAAAAATTGGCTGAGTGCAAAAATTAATTAATGAAGGCAGTTGGAAAGGGATTCCTTTGAAGAAATGAAGATCTGAATCACAGACCTTGATGAAAACATCCTAATAATAATAATGAGGCATGGTGTAAGAATGCTTCCTGCCAATATTTGACTAAAATATCACATTTTGATTTATAAGAATGAAAACACAAAATATGTTATATGCTCCCTACAGACATTTACAAAACCACCTTACAGTATCTTAAATTTAAAAACTTTCAAAGCCCAAAAGAATCAGGAAGCAAATAATGAATAAATTAGTAAAACAGAAAATTAGTTGATTATGCCGAGATTCCTAATGCTTGATTGTAATGTGTGAGGTTTCTCAATTTTACAAACTATCTGTCCACTTACGTAGTGATGAGTTTCTTCTTAAATCTTCTCTCATACTGTGCACTTATGGCCAGAGAGGCAACAAATGAACAGTCCGATACTATGGTCTGAAAAGTATAAGAATATCTTAAAATTAACAAATATAACTGGCAACACAGCACCAAAATTAAGTTAATAAAATATTTCATGAATAACATATTAAATATTGAGTAATACGATGAATTTTAAATCAATGTTTATGAAAATTCCTCACATTTGGAAAATGTTTTAAGATAAAAAGAAAACTTGAACTTATCGCATAGAGTGACTTTTCAAACAATTTATGAAAAAAAAAAATCAGACAATAACAGAAAAGTTCTTTAAGTCTGACCTGTCTGACACTAAAACTGGACACTGCCAGAATCATGGTGGGGTTGTCCATGAACTCCTCTGGTCGAACCCACTGTTTTAGTTTACTCTTCTGCTTGGGACTCAGGGCCAGTTTGCCCGTCTTGTCACTAGCAGAAAACAACCAGGTCATTTTTGGAACAATCTTAGCACAATTTTAATTTAAAAAAAAAAAAAAACCTTTCAACCTGTGTTATTACAAAGTANTTTATGAATCTTAAATTTTATAATTTTAAAGAAACCTTGGATTTTTTACTTTTAATTACTGTTTATTACAATTAATTAAGTTAGTTTAGCTCTTATTTATATAAAATATATCTTAACCATTTTTATCTATAAACTTCTTTGTATTTTATGTTGTACAGTCTATTGAACATTTTATGGATTTTAGACTTGAAATAAATATATTATTATTATTATATTAAACCTTATATTAAACTAACTATTATTTAGGGGGATATGAAAACTGCATCGTCAGTTAATCTAGGTTTTATTCAGCATGGATGCAATTTTCACATCCCTAGCTTTAAAACAATCACAAAGAAAATTAGTTGTGCATTTTGCAATATCAAAATCATTACATGGCAGTACGGTAATAAAAAGTTCAGTGATGGACTAAAATTATTGACTAAAATATCACATTTTGATATGTAAGAATGAAAACACAAAATATGTTATATGCTCCCTACAGACATTTACAAAACCACCTTACAGTATCTTAAATTTAAAAACTGGGAGCATCAAAGCCCAAAAGAATCAGGAAGCAAATAATGAATAAATTAGTAAAACAGAAAATTAGTTGAGTATGCCGAGATTCCTAATGCTTGATTGTAATGTGTGAGGTTTCTCAATTTTACAAACTATCTGTCCACTTACGTAGTGATGAGTTTCTTCTTAAATCTTCTCTCATACTGTGCACTTATGGCCAGAGAGGCAACAAATGAACAGTCCGATACTATGGTCTGAAAAGTATAAGAATATCTTAAAATTAACAAATATAACTGGCAACACAGCACCAAATTAAGTAAATAAAATATTTCATGAATAACATGTTAAATATTGAGTAATACGATGAATTTTAAATCAATGTTTATGAAAATTCCTCACATTTGGAAAATGTTTTAAGATAAAAAGAAAACTTGAACTTATCGCATAGAGTGACTTTTCAAACAATTTATGAAAAAAAAAATCAGACAATAACAGAAAAGTTCTTTAAGTCTGACCTGTCTGACACTAAAACTGGACACTGCCAGGATCATGGTGGGGTTGTCCATGAACTCCTCTGGTCGAACCCACTGTTTTAGTTTACTCTTCTGCTTGGGACTCAGGGCCAGTTTGCCCGTCTTGTCACTAGCAGAAAACAACCAGGTCATTTTTGGAACAATCTTAGCACAATTTTAATTTAAAAAAAAAAAAAAAACTTTCAACCTGTGTTATTACAAAGTAAGTGACATCACAAATTACACATATTTAATTCATCAAATCCCCAAACCCTTGGGGCTCACTTCCATTGAAGCTATCAGTCTACGTAGATCGATGCAACTCTGCTGGGCCTCATGCTGAATACAATCAGTTTCACAGTTAAATATGCCATCTCTTGTTTCCAACCTTCTCACATTATCACCAGCTATTCTGTATTCTACTCAATGCTAAGTGGAGGCGTGTTGATGTGTTAAAGTGATTGCATTCAGCAATAGTTCCTGTAGAGATGGATCTCTATCTATGCATATACTGGTAATTTTAATGGGAATAAACTCTTTCATTCCTCCAAATGCACTCACCTGAAAGGCACTGGGTATGCAAACCTCTCCTTCATATCCACTGACATAAATGGCACATAGGCAATGTCATTGATGAGAGATGTGGTCCTGAAATTAACCATACAAGATACAGGAGTATAGTTAATTGACTTTGTGTGAACTCACCAATGTCACCACCTCTCGATAACCCCGCCCACTGCATGAATATTCATACATTCACCAAAGGCACCATCCCTTCTATGGCAACTTCTGCTATAGCATGATTAACAAATATGAGACAGTTACAAAACCAGTCAAATTTAGAAAAGTAAAGATAATGTAAAGCGATTTATCAATACAGAAACAGTTCTCCAACTAGGCCTCCCTGTGGTGAAATCAATACATTATCAGCAATTAAATCAAATTCATTTGATTCTTCACAACTTTCCCTTGCTAAGTGTCATGATTCCACTGAATCCCATTACCTTAAAACCAATATCTCTTACCTTAAAACAGATATCTCTTGTCTCAAAACCTATAAAATCTCTTACCATAAAACAGACATATCTTACGTTTAAACTAAAATCTCTAACAATAAAACAAATACCTCTTACATTAAAAAAGATACACCTTACTTTAAAACCTGTATCTCGTCTTTGGTGTAGCCCCCACTGCCCCCGCCTCCTCCTCCCCCTCCTCTTGTAACCCTCGCCCCCACTCTCCTCCTCCCCTGATCCTCCTCCTCCTCATTATCCTTCAGACTGAACCCCAGAGGCCCAGGCAGGGGTTTCCTGTTGTCCTGTGAACCTGGTTGGGGGGCCCTGGGGCTCAGGCTGGGGCTAGGGACCCTGGGGATGGCCTTGGACTTGAGTGCCTCTGCCCTATTTGAAAACAGGTGACAAAACTGGATGAATTGCAACATGCACTTGGAAATAGGTGATGCAGAAAGGTGGTAACTTATTTGGGTGATAAATTATCCATTGACACAGAGCATGTTTGAAAATAAGTGGTCAAAGTGGGATTATCTGTCATTAGCTACAAACAATTCCACTTTTATAATACTACCACTGTTGTCAGCTCTTTGCAAATATAAATTAAACCAAATAATGATTCATTATGTCTTAAATGTGTTTACATTCATGGGCTCTGAACTAGTGTGACTGTGTAATTGTAATACTTATTGTATTACTTTGTAAATATGTGGAATATAAGATCATGCCTTTCTTGGTGACGTATATTGCAGGTTTTGGACAATCAATATATATCTCATTAATATACATTTTATGTTAACATTATTACCCTTCTATGCAGTGATTAGCATATAAATTCACATAACAGTACCTGTCTAGAGCCTGTGTGGCCATCTTTGTGACATTCTCCTTAAGTTTATTATCTGCCGTGGAATCCCTCTGTAAACATATCATCTTACATACATGAAAAATGTGCTGTTTTACACATATTTTATAAAATACATTACTAAAGTATTTTAACGCGACAAGCAGTTCTTTTAACACCATTTCCTTTTTTTCTCTTAATTTTTGATTAAGTAACAAAATACTTTATTTACTTACAGTGTGATTTAAAATGTGATTTAAAATTAAAATTTTTATGCTAATAAAATGAATTATTCCACAAATGAAATCATTCTTAGGCTATTTATCTGTATTAAGATAGATTCCATATTCATGCATGTATGCTTATTATGTGCAGTATATGCATATCATATATGCAAGCACCTGCCTTCCAACTTACAATTTTAATAAACAGTTCCACAGACTCTGTGTATAGTTGCACTGCCTCTTCCTCATTGTTGTTTTCATCCTCGTCAAATGCCTGGTGGAGCAGAAACTGGGCCCTCTCCAGATTCATCTAAAATTTTCATCAAACATGACCAGAGATGAGAGTTGTGACAATAACCCATAATATGAGGACCTTTCTCACACACAATCATTTTAATTAGTAATATTTCTTTATGTTTTGTAATTATCAGGAAAAACTTTATAAAATAAAATAAATTTAAATGGACAAAAAGATAAACATAATCAGCTGCTAAAAACACCAGTATTTCTTTTTTCAATTTTAACAACACTGATTTAAGAAATATAAATTTAATTTAATAATAAATAAATTTAATTTAAACATAAATTAAATTTAATATTAATTTATTCATATGCTTATACAGTAGATGTACATTTTACGAAGAATAAAGCCCAACAATGTGTTCTATGACTACATTTATTTACGAAGTTTACAATTATAACAATTTTGAAAATAATTTTGTGCAAAAACTTGTGTAATAAATTAATGCTGTTTGAATTAGGAGAGTTCATACCATACACCTGCAGGTGAGACACCTTACCTGTTGTTCCGTCTTGCCAACATGGCTCCTTATGCTGCTGGCATTCCTGACTAAAGAGAGGAAGACACACTGGCTTAATACAGTTAACTTATTGTAATCAACAGCATGACTACTTTTATCGCTGCCATCATTTTTTTTTATCATTTCTATACCAGTAGATAAAAATTGCTAAAAAATAATCCATGCCAGCATCTATGCTTATTTTGTAAACAATACAAAGAAATTATAATCTTTTAACAAATAAACATCAGTCCCAACAAATTTTGCATGAAATGACCTAAATTCTGGCCTTAAAAAAACACTGGGGACTGAATTCAAAACATTATTTTCGAATCCAAAAGCGTTAAAAGGCAAAAAAAATTAATGGCAAGAATTCTATATAAACACCAGTTACCCATTGCCTGGAGTTGCTCTGAGCGACACATGTATTCATTGGCCTTGTCTGTCAGTCCAGGTCTCTGGGACCCACTCATACAGGCATTGATCAGGGCCTGAGCTGCCTCCTAGATAACAAAAGTATACCATTTTACTATTATTATTATTTTTCCAATAATGAGCACCAGTACTGTAGGGATGAGCTTGCTGGAAATAAGAGTGTGAACTTTTTGATCATAAGGCAAGATTTGTCACAATTACAAAAAAGACTTATTGTTTAATGTGCCAATAGCTCTGCTGTATAGGAAAATAAGCAAAATTTACCAAATAGTATTTTGACTGCTGATATGGCAGAGGATATTTGACTGAGGATGAAACAATGAGGAAGGAGCAGTATAATTGTACACAGAGTCTGTGGAGCTGTTCATTAAAATCAGGGAAATGGGGGCTGTGACAGTCATTTGTTACATTAGTGGAAATGGATATATGGATATGCTTGCTGTACATGTACAAATGTAGAGTCTCAGCTGCTTGGTTGAGAGGCCAAATGATATTTTTACAGCAGTGAATGTGGGTAGGAAGACATACTCACAATAGACCTACTGGTATCAAATATACAATCTCTGTTTTCCACATATATTACGATATAAAGTAACTCACTGTGTAATAAAATGCGGCACTCTGATACTGCCCCTTCTGGTCAAAATCCACTGCAGCCCTGGCAAAATTGTATCCATCTTGTTCTAATGTGGTGGGATCAACTGCACTACTGTTGTCCATTCTGAAACATAACAAACAAGATTTTCTATTTCATTGTATGGTCCACATTTTTTTACCTTTAAGTTATGTATGAAATGATAAAATCTGAGTCAATGTTTAAAGCTTAGAGACCTGTATCTGTATCTATCCATATACGTCTAAGGAGACCACTACTGGTGTAAGATAGACGGAAAGAAATGCTTTAAAATCTCTACCCTTGAAGTTATTCTCAACATGATTATAATCTTTTATGCTCAATCAAATTTACAAAACAATAAGCCCACAAAAAATACTGTGCACTTTGACCAGCATCATGCACATCAGACAAAATATCTTTCAGAAATTAAGACATTTAACATTGAGTTTGACAGTTAGGATCTATAAAAATTCCCAGGGACTCCAACTTGTTTTGTGTCTGAGGCGGTTTGAACTAATGAAATAATATATAAGTACGCCTTTGCTTAGAAAGAATGAAATAAATGCATAATACCACTTGCATTAAATAGTGGTGTATCACTTTCGAAACTTGAAAGTCGAAGGTTGTACATGTAATTTGCTGTTAAGGGCGATTACTAGTACATGTATATTCAATCAGCTGCTTTAGAAAATGTATTTTGCTTTTCATCATCGTTGAGATATTCTAAAGGTCTTCGTGGAACAGTCACTTAGAGAAGAAACTTCAAGCCAAAGAAATAAAACAGAAAGCAGTGCTCTTTGCTTACCTTACCACATCCTCAATGAAATGTTTTTTACTCTACTTGTCCCATAGATGGTGCGCACCGCTGCCTTAAGACAAGATGAGCCTATTTTTCTTGCCCATTGTTTTGATGATATTGTTAGATTTGTAACAAACAAACTATAAAATTATCAAAATATACAATGTTTGTTTTCATTTCAGTTGATTATCTCTTAGTTTAGTCTTTATTAACTAGAGTGGGCATATTTTATTTCACGTCGTCTGCAACACACGTTTTGATGACGTAGTTCACACAGCTTGTTTGGTGCTGGAGAGAGGATTCGGTACACCTGTAAATAGAGTGAGTGATATAACTATAACCGGCGTCTGGGTTACGTTTTCTATGCTCAAGTTATATTGATAAATATAAAAGGTAAGTGTACATGAATGAACTTTTAAAATATCTTTTTTCATTTTGGAGTTAGAGCTTAGTTATTTCGACTAGCAAAAGTAGGTCAAACTTTCTGTTGTTCTATGCTTGGTAAGGCTATGTGAGATTTTGTAAGAGCTTCAACGGTGGCACTCCTAGATTACTTTGAAATGACTCTACTTAATGTGTCGGCTTTGTCTGCTTTCTCGTGTCTGGGATATGCTGAAACTTTCGTGAAACTCGAAAACCTTTACAAGTGAAAAATAGACACAAGAAAGTTGTTTTGTTAATCATAATTTCTGTGAAATCCTAAGCCAAATGGAACTCGTTAACATTGTTGCCAGTTCTGCTTGATCAGATAGACTTCTCACTAGTTTTTGCTTTATAATATTTCAACCAAAATATTGTGATTTGATCAGATATGGTGATAAGATAATAGAACAAAGATTGACAAAGAATGGGGATGTTGCTTTTTTCAGTTGATTTAAAACAAAAAAAAGTTTCTCTACTAGCTATTGACAACAGAGGTGTCTCATATATCCCCACATCCAGTGGTGCTGCTCTACCCCCATCTCCTGCCATCCTGCTATCCAACCCCACCACTACCTAATACAGGTCTTAAATCCCCCCTCCCCTCCCTTACCACCACTGCCGATACTCTAAAAATTCCTGCTTGTAGGCCAGGGTAACAAACTTGTGCTGCACACAGCACAAACTGGAGATATTGTTTGTATAAAAGAAAAGGTATGGACATCCCTGTATAAAATGCTCAGATGATGGATTAACTATATTGATTTCACCAGCCAAGAACTATGTGGGCATTAAATGTTTTACGGCCAAATGATGTTATTTCCCATGAGGATTCTTTGACTGTGTGACCATTATGCGTGATTATTAAGTACATGGATAAGAGGGAAGGTGGCTTGAACTGATAAAAATGGATCTCCTTTTGAGGAAAAGAAATGAAAAAGGGTGGGTGTGTCTAGGAGAGATTGTGAATGCAGAAGCAGTTCTAGACATGCATGCTCAAAGTCTGTATATATATATCTTTTATAAACCACAACATTCAGATATAAAATTACTATCATTTTTTTTTCTTAGTTCTTCTCGTAAATAAATAAACCATACCCATTCTGCACCAATTCAGAGGTTTTAGATTGCTCAAGTTAGATTCAGTTTGCCACTTATGGTTTATGAAGCTCTGAGTGTACCTGGCTTTATTAAGGTGATTCAATATGTGTGTTTTGTCTATTTTGGGCTGGTCTGAATTTCATTAGTGATCATAACTTACCCTGGATTAGACAGATAGGTTTATAGTACATGGGAGAGGGAAAGTTAATAATCTGTAATCATTGCAAAGTCACATTATCCCCTTTATGACAGAAATCACTGTGAGGGTGATGACATAATGTAAATGAACCAAATATATTAGCAGTGAAGATTGAAAACCTGAGGTGAATTCACACTAGGAACGGTTATCAGGTCTTAACTGTAGTCTGGCCACAGGATCAAGATACCATTAAAGCCAGTTCACAGGAATTAAGCTCAGACCAATGCTGACCAATTTGTCTAATTTTTCCCCTCCCATCTTTATATTACTTGAGGCCAGCAAGCCTTTGGGAAATTAAAGATTTTTTTTTTCCGTTTTATGGCTTGGTTTTCAGCTGTCAGCTGTAAGTAGTTTTGTCTATATTCAGCAGCAGCCAGTGAGGGTATTACATAAATGTGGTTTACTTGTTCATAGATATGGATTTAAACATAATATATAAACAGTAGAAATCAATGAGTTGAGTGTTAGGATAACATTATAGATGTGATATAACAAAAGACTTGAAGGTAATATCAAAACAAATGCTACCTTTCTAGTAGGAGTTCCTGGTGTTTATTGTCAATATTTTGATAGGTCTACATTGTAATACCAGTATAGCACTACAGCTTGTTTTGTGCTTCTAGATTTACTGGTTTAGTGGTATAGATAACCATAAGTTATTTGGATCAACTTATGGTGCTCTAAGGCCAGATTAGACCTAACTGGAGTTTCTATCAAAAAGGTCTAAAAATCACTTTTGGAAGCTCAAATTGAAGCCAAATACTAGTAAGACTTAAGCTGATGAAAGTATCTTTATCAAAGAATTTCTGAAAGGCTGCTCACCTCATTTTGTCAGTCTTATAAATGTCTCTTCAGCAAATTGCAAAATCTTCTAAAATGATTTGGGCATGTTTAATATTTATGGTCTAAATAACTGGTGTAGGGGACAGGTAGGGAAAAATATCAAGGAATATCCATTTTATTGAAAATAATCAATTTTAGTGGAGGCTGACTACTTATTGAGCAATACCTGGAAGGATGTGCTCCTCATGCAATTATACACAAACATACACAGGCATACATACACATGTATACACATTCCCATACAGTATGCATGCACACATGCACACACACACACACACATATATATGTATATCACCAAACGCCTGCACAATTACACATTCACACAAATGCGCTTCTTCCTTGAAACACTCCTATATTGTTTGCTCAGAAACTGGAGCTGCCTTGGGTGGGTGAACATCTTTATCAGCAATAAACACAGCATAATGAAAAATCAATAGGCAGACAAGTATCCAACAGCCACACAGTATATGCAGCCACTTTTTGCGATATCAGCCATACTGCCATGTTTGAGACTGAGTACAGTGATACTTATTGAATTAGAATTTACACATTGAATTACATTTTCATGTATAAATTAATATATTAATATTCATGTCAGTTTTCCTTTGGGGGGGGGGGAGGAGTGGAAGTTTTCATGAAATTTATCATTATGTTTCATAGAATATTTTCNGTCCCCCCCCCCACACACTCTCTCTCTCTCTCTCTCTCTCAATCTCTCTCTCACTCACTCACTCACTCACTCTCTCTCTCTCCCTCTCTCCCTCCCTCTCTCTCTCTCTCTCTCTCTGTCTGTCTGTCTTGTCTGTCTGTCTTCACCACCAGGTTTACTGACAGATTGCCAAGCAAGGTTTTGAAGTCAAGAATCAACTTCCGGAGTAAGATTTATAGCATTATTGACAAACCATTTCAAACTGCAACAAAAGTTCCATTGTTTTACGATGTGGTGTGTTTACCTGGCTATGTACACAGAGTGTAAATCTTTTCTCATACAGGGAGCCTGGCATACGCTCAGAGATATCATTTATATATTTCCCAATATAGGCAGCAGCATTACCTTAGTGTTGTAAATATTCTTGTCAGCAGAGAAAATTATTTATAAATTTCTTTAAAAAAAGGCAAGAGACTTACTCCCCTGAGTTAGAGTATAACAAGTAAATGCTGTGTTCTAGTGGAGGGAATTTTTTTATTTTGAATCCATAATCTCTGCTCATTGTGATTTGATTAGGACTGTCCTCTTCTGTATTAATTTAATTTAATTGTCAATTTATTAATTAATTTATTTTAAATGATTCATATCCATGAATTAATCTAATGATAGGTGCAACAATTTTAGTATAGTACTTTAAAAAAAAAACAGCAGCTGTAACATACCATCAAGAGGCATCAGTACTGGCTAATTATAAGAATTAGATCAATGATGTAGACAATTCCAAATTAAAGTACTCACAACTGGCATGGGACGTTTTGTTTATCTAAATCCATATTGAGAGAGAGAGAGAGAGAGAGAGAGAGAGAGAGATCGCTCAACACTTCAGTAATGCTGCTCATCAATTAATTCTCTAAAGATGTTACTGACCAGGTGAACATGGATCCCGTATATCATCATAATAGGAGATGTGATGGGCTGATATCTGCCCTCTCTGCTCCCATTTACTGGTGTAAGGTATGCTACCACTAGTCGGGGCTAGTAAGCATTGCATTGATAGGAATCTACAGAGATATGGTAGCTTGTGAGGAATTGGAGGTGTGAGTCTGATTTTGTGTGTGTGTTGGGGGGGGGGGGGTGTCACTGGAAAAAAAAAGCCACCGTATTTGATTTTTTCTACCAACTACAGTAGTAAGTTCTCCAATTCACCCATTTGAATAAGATATTATTATGGCGAAAATGTCATTTTAATGTTTAAAATCCAGTTGAACCTTTGGTTTTTAACATATCAGAGCTCAGCAAATTTAAGTACAGTAGGCTCAATCCCATTGTTCTTTTCCAGTCAAAATGAAGGAATATCCCAGTTATTTGCTGTTTTTTGCCTCAACATTTTAGCCACGAAAACCTCACATTTTTAATGACTCATTGTATCAGTAAGAAGTCAGATTACTAGTACACCAGTACATGTATTCTGTGATTGGGAATGCTAGCCATATTATAATGTAAATAAGGAGTGATGTAATTACACATCTGTCTGGGCAGTCTGTCTGCATTTTTCTTGATGCAGTTATAACTGGACCAATTCAAACAACTTGGCTGAATGAATTCCACCAAGGAAGTGTTGTGTTAGTTATACAAGTTTTATAAGTTTTGATTAATTTTTTTGAAAATTCGTGGTTGGCTGTGTGTCAGAAAGTACATTGTTGTGAGAGTCTGAAAATGAGGAATAATGAAGAACTATCATATTTGAGAACAAATGAGGCTGTACACAATTTTAACCGGATACCATAACACAGCCTTGCTGTTTCAGTGGGACCACTGGGTGCATGGTTATATGAAGGTAAAGGGTAGACTGAAATTACTGTGTAATTACACCACTTATCCAATCACCAGTGACTAATTATGATGTTAGCTGGAGCACAGGTGAGGCCAGGTAAGGGGGAGGCCGCGTTCACACTAGAACCAACTTAAGCACACCATCTAAATTCAGGACTGCTTGTAGGCCAGGGTTACAACAAACTTGTGCAGTGCACAGCACAAACTGGAGATGTTGTTTGTATCAAAGACTAAGTGTGGACATCCCTTTATTAAATGCTCAGAAGTCAGATGATGGATTAGCTACATTGGGACCAATTGGGGATCATGAATATGCTACAGTATGGCTAATGTGTTGATTTTTTTTTTCACAGTTTATGGGAGTTCTAAATAAATTTCTTATGATTTTTTAAAGTATGTTAGCTGAATAAATAAATAAATTAATTAATTACTAAATAATTATAAATAAATTATTATTATTAATATTATGTCTCTCGTAAGTTTTAATCCACACAACAGATGTATAGATTGAACAACCTTGAACATACAGCCCAAACCCAGTCATATTCATCATTATTGTTGTGAATCATATCTATTGCTTTTTATGCCCTGGCTTGGGATGGAAATTAAGTAGAGCTAATTAATTCTCCTAGGTCACTTGCTGTCAGGCTTATACTGGGGTTTAATGGATGAAATATGGCATTGACTCAGTAGATTCGAACAACATGGATTAATAACCCTTCTCCCCGTCTCCCCTTTTTTTTCTGGGGGGGGGGGGGAGGGAGGTACGCTTAAAGTTGGTAAGATTTTTTTTGAATAGTTGTCTTAGTATCCAAAAGACTTGTTGCGAGTATCCTAAATGATTTATCATGACATGCAAAAATACAGAATTATAAAAAATGAGGCATTTGGAATTTTTTAGTATTATACAATTTTTTAGTATGTTGTGTTTTTCTGGAATTCACTCTTCTTTATGTGCTTGTTCTTACATGATATGTATACCCCCACCTCCACATTTATTGTTTTTTCTCCCAACTCTCTTTCAAGTTATTTTTGAATGCTCCTCATTGCCATAAAAGCAGATTCTCAAAATAAGATGTTGTGAAAAAAACAAACCAGAAGGCTGTTGATATCAGCTTTCTCTGAGCACAGTAGATAGAAGTTACAATGCCTTCATTATATCTTGTTAGAAATGATAAGAACAAGGCAGCAGACATCTATATTGGTGTGTAGCTGTGTTATTGGGCTTCTGTCCAACATTAACAAAACTCCAGGCTCTGAGGGCTGGATTGAAGTTATAGGGTTACTGCTGCTTTGAGGTTAACTAAATATTCTCTCTCTTAGTTGGTTTTTCATGTTATGAATGCATACACATATTGGAAAAATACCGGAAAAAAGTTTATTCTGTGCATTAAATGTTGTTTGCTTCAAGTGCAGACCGATTCATTGTTGTTCTTTTGGTTTCTGGACTAGATTATCAGAATGAAAATGCAATGTATTGATCACATTATCATATTATGATGATAGAGCTTTATATTAATTAATATTAAGCACCTTTCCAAAAAGTAATAAATGGGCACTTTCAAAGCAGCAGTATTTCTTCTAATCATACAAGGTGTATTAAACAGATTGAAACCTTTAGATATCAACTCACATCTTGCAGACTAAAATTCAATCAGTAAGGACCATTTGAGAGTTAATGTTGATACTCAGGGCAGTTTTTCTTAATCCACCTCATTGATAAAAGTTCTTTGGTAAGGGAAAGATATCTCGAGTGGCTTCTGTTCTTTCAATTAATATGTTCATATGGTCCAGGTGACTGGGATAAAATACCATCTCTAAAAATTGTGGTAAATAAGGTTAAGTTTGGTAAAGTACATGGAGGGATTGGGGTATATTAAACTTTAAAAGTGGACTGTAACTGTTTGTTTGATTGATCGAATCAATTTTTTTTTTTCAACATTTTAATCGGGTAGTAAGTGAAGATAAATTCGTTTTGATAACTAGTACTTGAGTTTTTCTCTTTGAACAAAATAAAGGGGAATTGTATATCACTTGCATGGTAGACCTTTTGAAAGAAACTTTCTATGAGCTCTGGCAGTTATCAGGGAAGATTGCAGAATCCAGGAATTTTCTCAGAAATTCCAGGTAACATAGCCCCATCTTATGGGTTTTATGACCTGTAGCTGTCTTGTTTGTGAATGCCTGGGATGCAAAGCACATTTTCAAAGAGATGTTCTAATCTAAACTATGTATGAAAGATATGCTAGGCTAGGAGCACTATCAAAGGTGATGTCTTTTTTTTTCTGGAATGAATCAGATGCCTTACATATGAATGAGAGATCTGTCTATTAACTGGAAGCCTAAGGGATGATAACTTAAGGTTAGAGCAGCCTTTTTTTCAATTTTCATGAGAAACGCTGAGGTTTTTCCTGTATTCATTTTGCTGTTTGAAATTTAATCATATTCACCATTATGTTTAATTATTCATTATTTTTAAAACTTGAATTACTTTGGAATTTTGGAAAGAAAAAATAATAAAATTTCTAGTCTTCTTCTTGGATAATCTTCACATTTCTAGTACTTTTTAACCAGAACTGTACTGTGTTCTAAGCTCGTAAAATGTATTAGAAATTGTAGATTGATGGGTGTTTGCTGGAATATAGTACTGTACATTTTGTTTTAAATGCCAGAAAAGATTCTTATTTTACTTTTTAATCAAACAAAGGCACTCTTGTTCCTTGCATTTTTGTTCTGCCCACAAGTGTAATAATTTCATTTCTTAAAAAAGCTCTACGTTAAAAATACACATTTAAGAGAAGAATAAGGTGTTCAAGAAGAAAATGGTAAGATTAAAGAGAGCTAAAATTCCTCAAATTAACCTGAAATCTGAACAACTTTCTTATTTGGGATGAGTATACATGTTCATGTAGGAAATTCAACCTTTGCTATTTGATTACATACCTGTGGAAAACATGATAAGGAAGAACTGGTATGACCTTACTTATGTTTATAGATTGTACTTCCATGATTTACGTGCAAATTTCAATCGGGTTAACCTGCTTCTAAAAGTACTTATATTAGAGTGCTGTGATTTTTTGTAGAAGTAGTACTTAGTAATTTGGCTATATCAAAATGCTTACGGAGATATATATGTTAATTAATTATTTATGTTGTAATTGCCTTCTGAAGAGCAAAGTCAGACAATGTCTGTTTATAAAACCCCCTCTTTAATTAATGTAGTATCATCACTTGGATAGGGTTACTGACTGCAACTGTTACATTAATTGCAGCATATATAGTTATCCAATGCTTTCCATAATTAAGAGGTTAGGTACCAAAGCTAGTTTTGTCTCTTGCAACATAGTTGTTGAAAAAACTTCAGATTGTAAACTGCTAGTCTATAAGATGATGTAATAATATTTGGTTAAGCGCATACATAGAGTTTTCTGGGGTATTCTTTTTAGTAATTATATATCATGAAGTAGTTTTCTTGTCTTCAAGTACAAGAACATTTCTATACTTGTATTAAGAAAATACAGGTACCCTTTAATGCTCTTCACTTAGAAGTGGAAAATTTTTCAGTATGTGCTAAGGTACAATATTTGATGAAAGACTTTTGTAAGTTTCCTTTTAGAAAACTTGATTCTGTGATAAAATTCAATTGTAAAATTTGAAATTGCTGTGCAAGAGCCTCACTGTTAAGATGATAGGCAAGATTGGTAAAACATTTGAATTTGTAAATGGTTGAAAAGAAAGATGGATGGGCATTTTAAGACATGCAGACAGACAAACAAGTAAACTAATGAAGGAATAAAGTTATTATTTTCTATAATACTGTTATTATATATTTCAGGTCTTCCATCATGACTCCCAGACTATGGTGCTGTTTGCTTTTATCTACAACATTACTTGCCTTTGTGGCAGTATCCCATGGTGAGTCAGGATCCACCATCTAGGGGTTTGGAGGCCATTTTAAGAAATCAAAATCATAACTTTTCAAGAAAGTTTTTTTCTGTGAAAATTAAAGAACACTTGGTATTTGTATGGGGCATTACTGTCTGACATGTCATGAATATCAAGTATATATCAATGGATGAGTGTAATATGTATGATTGATAAAAAAACATGTTAAAATAAAGATATTTGAACATTGAAAGATAACTGTGTGTCTGTAGTTAAAACTCTGTTATGGCATGTGTGTTCCTTGTTATCTCAGGTCAGGAAGCAGATGTCACTGCCACCAGTCTGTGTCGCAAGATGACCAACTGTAGTGCCTGCATTGCTGGAGGACCTCTCTGTGCTTGGTGTAAAGAACAAGTAAGTTAAACTAGGTCACCTTGACCTATTTATGTATAATTTTTGTAGAAAATGAAGATGGAAAATACAAAAAGAAAAATCACTATTTTGTTTGAAGAGCTGTCGCAGACCCAGTTGAAATAGTCGGATGTTATATCTTTTGAAATAAGGCTAGAGATTAAGTCCAGCTGTTTAGGACCCCAAAAAAAGCAATTTTTAGGGCGGTTTTTAAAGATATATTTCATTGGGTTACTGAAATGCCAGTGCAATCATCTCCGAGTGTGAAATGAGCCATTAGTGTAGTCGATAATGTTTTTATGTGTTGACTGACATCTACAATGTTGACTGACTTTAGAAATTAGCTAAAGGCTTACTAATTTTTCTATTCTTAAAATTTCGGATCAATGTCCTACAAATGGATTGTGTAAAACTTTAGACTTTATTTTTAAAGTTTTTCTGAAAATTCTAGATCACCGACGTGAAGGAGGAGCAGAGCAGACACAGATGTGATGTATTAGCCAATCATCTGAAAGGCGGATGTGCACAGGTCGACATTGTCAATCCTGACCATGATATTAACCCCACCAAGGTGCATACACCCTTTATTTTAATTCTTTAAACAGCTTTATATTTAAAAAAACTTAGTGTTTTCCTCATGAGGACTTATGCTGATGACAGATCGTGATTGATGAAATCATTATATTGGAGCTCTGGATTGAATGGTCTGAGTTATGAGATGAAAATTGATTCAGACATTGGAGCTAAATTGGACTAATAAGGGCATCTTATGAGGTATAATTAATAGTTTTAATCTTAGACCATATAGACTGTCGCAATGTTTAGTGTGACAGTGTAAATTGGATTCTTGCTCATATCTTTATTCTATTCATCAGGACACTCCACCCAGGTCAGGTTCTATGACAGAGAAGCCCATCCAGCTTTCACCTCAGGAGATGAAAATTAAAGTTAGACCAAGTAAGTAAAATAAAGGTAGAAACTGGGTTCAAACTTAAGGTACAAAATGGCTGAAGCAGGTTCATACTTTGTGTATAAACTGAGTGCAGATGTGTTCAGAATTTGGGTGTAAAATGGGTGCAAGCAGGTTCAAAATTTAAACAAACTCCGTTTAAGCGGGTTCTGAATTTGATGATAAAATGGGTTGAAGTATTTAAAAACACCAGACTTAAACATGGTGCAGACAAACTCAGTATCTCAGTGTACCTCCAGTCTGCCATGGCCTCCTCCTCTGAGTAAAGCATGTTTCTCTGTGTATTATTTCAGACAAGCCAGTAAATTTCAAGGTCCATTTCAAGCTGGCTGAGAACTATCCTGTGGATCTGTACTACTTGATGGACATGTCCAGGTCTATGAATATACACAGGGAGAAACTGGCCGCACTGGGAGTTAAGATCTGTAAGTGAACGTGATTTAAAAAAAAAGGAAAGTAATGAATTTTTATTTGTGAAAATAATCATGTTTTCCATCTACAATCTTTTATGTAATAATTTTTTAAATCTTTTTTCCAGCTAATGAAATGGCTGCAATTACTGAAGATTTTAGACTTGGTTTTGGCTCCTATGTCGATAAGGTCACCATGCCTTATGTCAGCATTTATGCCCCGAAGTAAGGAGTAAAATAGACATTATTTACAGTTAAACAAGCAGTGTTATTTGTTTGGTATTTCAAAGAGTCAAACATGTTTATTTTATATTATTGCTAGGTAACATTGTTTTGTATAATTATGATTGATAACTGTGGTCATCAATTCAAATTTTGTATTTGAAAATCAGTTAAAATAATTCAAAATTGGAAATTGTTCATTAATAACCATTTTAGGGAGGAAAAATGTCAAAGGTTTTATATTAAAATGGGAACATATTATGCCACCCACTATTAATATATATATTTTTTTATCCTGTGATTTCCAGGCTGAACAACCCGTGCTCAGAAAGTGATAAATGTGCTGCCCCCTATGGTTACAGACATGAACTAAGTCTTACTAATGATGCTAAGATATTTTCTGTAAGTACTTTCCTCCTGCTCACTGTTTGTGTACTAAAGATAAGATTTTCATCTCTTTGAACAATGTCAGTTGTGTCATAAAGTTGTAGGAATACAAAATTTTGTCAAAAAACGCCCATGACTTTTTGTGTTATGATGCTAACTAACAAACTAAAAAAAAAACACCACCTCTTTGGATGGAGAAAGAATATAAAGGTAAAGTGATAATATTATATTATTGTTGATGTTGTAGGAAAAAGTGCTAGCCACCCCTATATCTGGTAATCTTGACGTCCCTGAGGGGGGCTTTGATGCTGTAGTCCAGGCTGTTGTCTGTGAGGTGAGCAGTAAAATTAATAGATTCGATAGAAAATTAGAAAATGTTGATTATTTGGCAATGTTTTACTTTGGTAGAATGACCAGATTTTTCTTTTAAACCACAAATCAGTTTATGTAGTAAATTATTAAGGAATTTCTATTCACGTCATCAGAGATTTGTCTAAATATGAGCCGACTTCTGCTTTGACTTTTTAGTCTGAAAGTAGAGTAGCAAATCATATTAAGTGTTAAGTTAATTTCAGTGTTAATAAAAGTGTCGCTGAGTTAATTTTTGTGTTTTACGAAGCAGTAGGATTTATTTATAGTACTCAGATAAATGGACAGTATCAGGACTGCTGTATATATTGTATACATCACTTAAAACAAATTGAACTATTCTAAATATGAATATAGAATATCAGCGTGTTCTTCACTTTATTTATAACTACAAGATTTTGTTCATAAAATGATTGTGAGTTTGTTTCAGGATACAGACTGACATTGACAACCTCAACTGTTACAGTACCACTATGAGTACATGTTTTATTATACACAAGGGGAATAGTTTTCAGTTACATAAATCTCATTTTCAGATTATTTTTTGATGACTATAAGAATGGCAATGTCTGATTAAATGTTTGTAATTTAAAAGAGCTGTTCTACAGGAACTCACAAGTTCAAAGATACAATGTTTCAACCATCTATTTGACATTACAGAAGCAAATAGGCTGGAGAAATCCTTCCAGAAAGCTGCTGATCTTGAGCTCTGATTCTGGGGTTCATTTGGCAGGGGATGGCTATGTATGTGCAGTATAGACATCATATATAAGTGTCCTTAGGCTGTGGGATATGAATGGGGTGTAGGGTATAACTCTTAGATATAGAACACAGGAATAATTAATACACTGACAAAGGAAGATGAAAAAACTGATGAAGTTTGTGTCAAAAGGTGTTCTCAGCCAGAGAGGTTGTGGCAGGAAAAACTAGGGAAGACAATATGTTCAAGAAATAGGCATGTAGGCTACCGCACAGACAGATTGTCAGACAGAACTGAAAAGAGACAGAAAACTGATAGACAGACAGACAGACAGGCGGACCAATATACAGACAAGATAGTTGTGCAGTCGAGCAGACAGACATTAAGGCACACTGCTACACAGACGAGATTGGTATGAGACCAATAACAACACAACCACTACATTTGAAATAGAATTTGTTGACACAGTACTGACCTGTTGACAAAAAGGAAAGGACTCATGACTGCCCAGTAACCAAGATAATCAGCCCCTGTGGTGGAGGCCAATGTCTCTTCATGATTATATTAGTCTGTGCACATAACTCTGTATGCTATATTTACAGGAAACCGTTGGGTGGCGGAGTCCGTCTCGTAGACTTCTGATCATGTCCACAGATTCTCCTTTTCACTCTGCGGGTGACGGCAAGGTTAATACACTCACCAATAACTGACACAGAGGGTGTCTTCTTACCACAGTGTGCTCTCTCAGCAGTTTTTGTCTTAGAAAATGGGGAGGAAAAGGGGTTTTTTATTTAAAAACATTAATAAAATGGATAAAAAAAGTGATGGTTTTATTAAAAGTGGATGATGATGCCCTCATTTTGCCATATGCTGTAACATAGTTTTTGTTCAGTGCTTTTGTTTTATGTGTTTATTGAAATTGGGTAATGGTATTTCTTCAATTTAATGAAAACTACAAGATGGAGAATACATTTGAACTGCAGAGAGCACACAGTGCATTTATAATTTAATGTGATTTGCATGTCTTTTATTTCAAACTGTTGTTACCCCTCCCTCCACCCCCCTCTGACCCCCTCCGACCCTCTCCCCCACTTCTTTACTAGTAATAAGTTCTCTATACTCAGTTTGCCATAGTCATAGATTTTGAGTTTTAATAGTCTTTGATCTTTATAAAAACAAGCAACATAACCTTTAATGTTCTACATGTAAAAGTACTTTTCACTTCAATTTGGGTCTGCCTAACCTAATGCACAAAGTCTTAACTGACTGTTTGATTACAAGTCCTAAACATAGTAATCCAAACTGACTGCAGGCAGCTTGCCTCAGTTACACTGGGGATAGCTGGGGCAACTGTGAAACCAGATTGGTCATCTGTGGTGAGCTAACCATAATCAGACTCCCTCATGAATCAGTGCAGACATAAGTTAGGATGACCCAAGTTGGCGGGAAAAGCACCTTAAATGTGGTTCTTAACTTAACAATTTACACCAACACTTTAACCTAGTGTAACTTAGTTAATACTAACATTGTATTTTAGTTGTGAACAATATTTTAAGTTTATTTTAAGTTCTTAATACTTTTATGTTTTCTTTTGTTGTGTATTTAAGTTAATTTTTTGTTTAGATTACCAACCTTTTTATTTGACACATAGAAGTTTTGAGTGTGCTTTTCCATTAATAATTCTTTTAAAGTTTTCTAAATTCTCTCTTTCTTATATGAATGTTTGTGTTTTAGTAAAAGATATGAACATTATTTGGTGTTTAATTTGATTGATTCAAAGGATGGTTTTTAAATTAAATTCACAAAATATTGATTTTATCTTAAGTAATGATATCATTGCTGTTTTATTAAAAAGGAAAACATATACACTCATTCTGATTTTGATTTAAAAGTAATTCAAAAGTTAAGAAAAGGTAATGTGACCATTACTGTGGAAGCATGCATGTGAAAAGTATCTTTTGTCTGCATGATATTTAAGTAACCAAATGCTATAGGCAATAAATAATAATATATATGAGCCCTGACGATTTATACTCATTATTCAATACCTCTTCTTACAGTTGGCAGGCATAGTGAGGCCTAATGACTTAAACTGCCATATGGACGCTGATAACTATTACACAGAATCTCTGAACCAGGTGAGTTATCTGGCACTGTGGCTTTATCTGAACTTTTACACAAGCACCCCTAGATGCAAGTGTGCACACGCTTCTAATATTACTGTGAGAGACTCTCACAAACACATACATATTGCTCAAATTTCACTCTCTCTCTCTCTCTCTCTCTCTCTCTCACACACACACACACACACACACACACACACACACACACACACTATATCCACTGCTAATATTTCTCCATCTCTCTCTGTAGGACTATCCATCCATCAGCCAGGTCCGTGAAGTTCTCCAGAACAAGGATGTGGTGCTAATATTTGCTGTGACACAGAACCAGTTTAATGTGTACAAGGAGCTCAGTGACTTCTTCCCCAACTCTCTGACTGGAGAACTGAAGAATGACTCCAGCAACGTGGTACAGCTGATCAAGGAAGTTTACCAGGTGAAAAGAACTGGATTAATGTAATAATAATAATAATAATAATAATAATAATAATAATAGATATGATGATAATGAGGATGATGATGAAAATTTATTTCTGAAAATTATGCTAAACAAACATTTTGTCTCTTTTAACAAATATAATCAATATATCACACAAATGTCTTCAGGTCAGCCAAAACTGGGTTTATATGACCTGTCAGTTATTTAGAACTAAATTACGTGTGAAATGAGAAATGTTAATTATATCTGTAATGGGAAAAATTAAATATAAATCTGTATTATATTTTAGAATATTTCATCTCAAGTGGAGCTGAAAACAAATAGTACAGAAGGCATAAGTTTTAAATTCAGATCAGAATGCTTAGGGTGAGTCTTTGTTATATATAAAAAAAGTTTTTTGTCATATCTTATATACTCCTGCACTTGGCAAAGTTGAAAAAATACAATTAATTTGGATTGCATTTAAGATCTGTAAATTATTTAATTGCAAATTTGCTGATGTAGCAGATATTTTTTTTTTATTTCAAGCAAAGCATTTAGTATTAAGTTGTGTAACACATGTTGATAACACATTATGATTTTTTAGGACCAAAAAGATGAACACAAACAAATGTTTGGGACTGAAAACTGGACAGAGTGTAAGAATTTTGATCTGCTGATGAAATAATAATAACACAATAATATTAGAAAATCTTGATCTGAATTCAAATACTCTCATTTGTAAGGACCAATTAATTCCTTAGGTAACAGGGAAAAATAAAATGAGTAATTCTACTAAATAAGATGTCACAGTACCTAAAGCTTTTTCATATGATGACGCCCCATAGTTTTTCACATCTGACTTTACTTGACAGTGTTTAATTGTGATACAAAGTGCATATATAAAGTGCATAATTTTATATATTTTTTCAAGCTGAAGTAATGCCATGATTCAGTTTCACCTGCTATATAATTTCCCAACAGATGACATTTGATATAGAGATGACAGTAACCTAGTTATTAATGATTAAACCAATCAGTTGACCTGCTACATAATTTCCTGCCAGGTGACATTTGATGTGGAGATGACAGTTACCCAGTGTCCAAAGGATCCCACACAGAAGAGCCGTGTGGTGGAAATCTCCCCTGGTGGTGGTTTGGGAGAGAAACTCGTCCTGAACTTGGAGTTCATGTGCGAGTGTGACTGCGAGCTCCCTGCCAATGAGGTATGTTCATGTTCATTTTTGCATTGAACATACCTTGCTTTTAACTTCAAGACAAACATTACTTTTTGGGGCCTTGAAATAAATAAGATGATTATGTTAGTCGTTTGCAGTGATTTTCTGTGCATTACGGTCACTTCACAACAAGAGAAGCAGATGAGCAATTAACTGAATAATGACATCACATAGTGTTTAACTGAGATCTCCTCTAATTGTAATTTGCATATTACATCAGAGAGGTCACTGGTGTTTAGCAGGCTCTGTTCTCTTTTAGGAACATCTAAATTAAATGCAGTTTTGGTCCTGGTTACACAATGACATAAAACACACAGGACACGCTCATTTTATATAATTTAAATACATTATATATATATATATATTCCAGGTGCCATTAAGTCCCCTGTGTGAGGGTCAGGGTACATACCAGTGTGGTATATGTCAGTGTGACGCGGGGTTTGCAGGAAGACGCTGTGAGTGTGAGACAGACAAGGAGTCCACAGAGGCTCTGGATGCACAGTGTAGAAGGTAACAGGCACCTTGGTTACAATCTATATATCTGTCTGTCTGCTTGCCTGTACATAAGTACATCCATCCTTTTATTTAAGAGCACACTGGTGCAAAGTAGTAACTAAATGAGATTTAGTTTTGATTGTGGACTTGTGAAACTTTCTTCTAAACTTATTTCCAGGCGCACAGGCCCAATTCATACAGACAGTATTTTCTGCTCCAACAAAAGTCAGTGCATATATATGTGTGTGTGTGTGTTAACTTAGTTGTTATCACTTTTCCAGACCCAATTCTACAGACCTCACCATCTGCTCTAACAAAGGCCAGTGTATATGTGGGGCGTGTACTTGTTTACCAGATTACCGCGGACCCTTGTGTGAGTGCAATGACTTCAGCTGTGATAATTTTGAGGATCAGTTGTGTGGTGGTGAGTATTTTGGGATCTTTTTTTGGTCAGATTACCGATTTTTATCCAAATATTTGATCAGTTTAAAAATTGCTTACAGATTGACCAAAGCATCATTGGGAAAGTATATTATGTATGAATGCAAAGCACCAATGCTTACTTTTCATTTGAAAATTTATGGTTAAATCAAAGTGAATATCTTTTGGTTTCCATGTAAAATGTGATGAATGCCTTCATATGAAAACACCAGCTATCACTACTGTAACTGTAACATGACATAATTATGTTGCCTAAGACAAAAATGTATGCATAAATTTATCATAGATCTGTATCGAGAATATGAATTATTATGATTATACTGAAACTTGCCTTCATACCTGTATAATATGAATATTTCTGTATTCAGGACCTACCAGAGGCACCTGTGTATGTGGCAAGTGTGTGTGTAATGAAGGTTACAGTGGCAATGCCTGTAGCTGTCCAGAAAGTAAAGAGAATTGTATAGCCTCTAGTGGGGTAAGTGTGTGTGTGTGTGTGTATATGTGTGTGTGTGTGTGTGTGTGAAGGTGTGTAATGAAAGTTATCTGTGTGATACTGCCATATTATAACACTGTGTGATGGTGACATTTTGTCCTCTCTGTTCCAGGAGTGTAATGGCTATGAGGTGTGAGTGTGTGCGGAGTCTGTTTAAAATCCAGTACAGCTAAGATGTCATATATGAAATATACTATAACCCTGTGTGATGCTGATATTGTTTTCTCTCTATATTCCAGGAAGAGTGTAATGGCTATGGACAGTGTGTATGTGTGTGTGGAGTCTAGTTATATACCAGTACAGCTAAGATGTTATATATGATTTCCCTGTGTGATGCTGATATTTTCTTCTCTCTCTTCCAGGAAGAGTGTAATGGCTATGGACAGTGTGTGTGTGGTGTATGTCAGTGTAGACTGGAGTCAGGACACTCTGGTCCCACATGTGAGGACTGCCCTGTGAGTATTATTATTAGTAGTAGTAGTAGTAGTAGTCATAGTAGTAGCAGTAGTAGTAGTTGTGGTGGTATCTCTGCTACATATTAAATTTTTTCAGTGATAGATAATAAGATGGATGCTACACTTAATGTATGATTAAATGTTGTCTTAAAAGTTGTCATTTGCAGTCGTCATTCCTTAGGGATGCCTGCTGTACACTGTGTGTCCAAAATATAGCATTCAGTTTCAGAGACTTTATAACTTAAATGTAGAACACTACTTTAGACATATCGAGGATTATGTGAGGAATGTATATAATATAATATAATATATAACCATCATGTATTGCACTTCTGTAATATTTCAGACACGTCCAGTACTATGTGAAGAAACCAAACTGTGTGTCCATTGTACAGCATTTCGTTCTGGAGACAATATTTAACATTGTATGACATAAAACTATCATCTATAACTCTACTGGACCTTTATATTTCAGACATGTCCAGGGTTATGTGAGGAAACCAAGCTGTACGTTCAATGTGCAGCATTCAATTCTGGAGACTATGTAATAACATATAACATATAACTATCATCTGTAACACTTCTATAATATTTCAGACATGTCCAGGACTATGTGAAGAAACTAAGCTTTGTGTCCAGTGTACAGCATTCAATTCTGGAGAATACTCCCCAGAGTACTGCAAGGCTAACTGTACCAACATAGAGATGGTCCCAGATGTGCAGAGTGAGTGGCTAAGTTGTGATGATTTATTTTCTAACTAAGGGAGATAACACTGCAGCCAATTGTGAAATAGACTGTGGCCTAGTTTTTTTTTATCTGTATAGAGACATTTTGTATCATAGTAATGGTTTCACTTAAATCAGTGTTAAACTTACTGAACTGTGCAGATAATTATTTTACAACTAGAGAAAAGACAACACTTACAGAAATGAACCACATGTTACATACCCCAAATATACCGAGAAATGGAGATTGAAGATAAATGTTTTTGCTCCCCGTATATCTTATTATGAGTATCATGAACATTCATTGAGCTTTATCACCCAGTGGCACACTGCAGGTGGATAGAGTCCTGTATTGTACAATCAGATGTGGAATAACCAAGTTTTTTTGAGGCATTGGGTGTTTTTTATTTATTTATTTATTTATTTATTTATTTATTTATTTATTTTAAAGAGGAATCATATGTAGGTTTGTTTTCTTTCTTCAGAGTACAGTGATGAGAAGATAAAATTCTGCCAGTTCAAAGATGATGATGACTGTGAATTTTACTACAACTATGAGTATGTCGGCAATAAGAAGAATATCTACATCAAAGTACAACAAACGAAAGGTTGGTTTTAAAATGGATCTTTGAATTGGTAGTTGTGAATTATTTTGATGCATGCAGTATTTAAAAGTGACATAGAAAAATAATTTTATTACCTTCAGAATAAATTGATGAAATAAAAAAGCAGAAGAAAAAATATTTTAAGAAAATAAAAGTATAATGAAAATTTTAAAAAGCAAACAAAATACTTAGAAAAACATGAGTCATGACTATGTATGATAATTATGTGTGTGTGTGTGTGTGTGTGTGTGTGTGTGTGTGTGTGTGTGTGTGTGTGTAGTAGGATGCCAGTTTATCAAACATAAAGCACACTTTTAAGGTAAATTCTTATTTATAGTCTAACTTCACAACAGACTATCTACTATCTTCATTCAATTTTATTTTCAATTTTATTATTAAAAAAAAACTCCACCATTGCTCTCACATGAATCTATTTCCAGCCTGCCCTGCCCAGGCCAATGTATTAGCCATAGTACTGGGGGTGATAGCAGGGATTGTAGCTATAGGACTGGCTATACTGCTGATCTGGAAGATACTTACTACCATTAACTTCACATTAATCTATTTCCAGCCTGTCCTGCCCAGGCCAATGTATTAGCCATAGTACTGGGGGTGATAGCAGGGATTGTAGCCATAGGACTGGCTATACTGCTGATCTGGAAGATACTCACCACCATTAATGACAGGAGAGAGTTCGCCAAGTTTGAGAAAGAGAGAGAGCAGGCGAAATGGGATACTGTAAGTTGAAGAAAATGCTCTTAAAGTAGAAGAAAACTGAACTGTTTTTCTCCAAAGTTTTTCTCCAGCTTTTAGTAAGAGATGTTTCACTTGTGATGTATTGAATTTTTATATAATTTTGTAATTTTCAGCGACTTTTTTTTACAGTTTTTGGTTTAATTGGTTCCAATCATGGTGATATAATACATTGAATCAGCTCTGTTAAATAAATGACATATATTTAAATATTTCCATAAATTCAGTTGAATGGTGAATTATGATAATCATTTTATTTTTAGTATTATAATCAGTGGCTTAATTTTCGTAATTTTTTCCTCTTTTAGGCTGAAAATCCCATCTTCAAACAAGCCACTTCCACATTCAAGAACCCCACATATGAGGGACAGAAAAGCTGAGCTAAGAGACCAAGATAAAAAAATTACCAGAGAGGCAAAGTAAATTGTAGTAATTCCAGGAGAAAGTGCCATGTGTCGAGGAAAGGGAGTGATATTTATTGACATTGTTGCACTATCCTGTAGAAAATGCACTTGTTGGTATTGTGGTAGGATAAAACAAGAGCCTTTTTTTTTTTTTTTTTTTTTGAAAAATGTTAAAATTTAGTCATTTTGGCTGCTCAGAAAGTGAAGATGTCTCAGTTTTGCTACAGTTCATCATTGATTGGGTGTAATATTAGTTATTTTGGTTAAAAATACTACGTACGTACTAAGCATGACTTAGGTGCTGTATGGCTGTGTTGTGCATATTATACATATATCATGTATATGCGTTATGTGCATTGATTCACATGTGCATATAATGCTGAATTTCTTGATGGTGACACAGTTCTGGGACAAATAAGCAGCAGTCCTGAATACCTTTTTAGTGCATTTATTTATATATTTATTTATTTATTTATTTATTTATTCAAAAATTAAATGATAGTAATGTATCGTGTGTCTGAGAAAAAAGAAATTTAGAAAATGGATGGATACAAAATTCAGATCACAGTCAACATTGAAAAAGTTTCAAGAAGTTTCAAGTGACCAGTTGCCAAAGATTTGTGACACTGAGGTTCTGTGACTCTGGCAGTGAATAGGGGAGATTATTTTCTGGCATTTTTATTTGAATTTTTGTTGCATTTAGATTATTTTCAAGTCCGTGAACTTAGCAATGAATTGAATTTTTAAGTGGCCAGTCACAAGTATAAGGTAAAGAAAAAAATCAGAAAGGTCAGGATTAGTGAACTTCATTATGTACCCTATTCTTATTTAAATTGTTATCATTATACTGGAAACCATGGGTTCAGTTGATGATTTTATCAGTTGTATGGGATTTTATTTGTAAATGCTGCTGAATTATATATTATTATCTCACTGTTGAAACTGCCTTTTAGGATACAAACTATATAATTGTAACATATGCCAAAAAGTGGGTCTGTGTAAATAGAACAGTCTCAGTGCTTTTTAGTTACTTGTAATTAATATGTTTGTATTACCTGTGTATCTTATTGATCAAAGTGAAAAATCATAGCCTAGATAATCATTTAGATGAAGTCATATGAGTAACATGTAATATGTAGAGAATGAGATTCTACATGTATGTCCTAAGTTTCTTTTCTCTGTGTAGATTTTGTAGTCACAGTTGAGTTAATATCAGATGAAATGACATGATATTATAACAGACATTGCTGAAAAAGGCATTAATTAGGCCTTGTATTAGATTTATTTACAATGTACTGTGACCTACACAATGTGCAATTGACACGTTGCTTATCACTATGTATACTGTTGGTAGGTTAAGCTGAATTTTTATAATGCTGAAAGCTTTAATTGTATCAATAGCTGTGTGGTATCCCATGTATTTATAGCCCAGATTGTGCTTTAAAATGGACAAATGTGAAAAAGAATTCTTATTGTAAGTATCATTTGACTTGTATTTAAGTAAGGATGAAACTGTTGCTTAAATTTGCTTTCTATCATGTTGTTCAATTTTTGGAATCTTTCAACCAACCACAAATCAAGAGGTTTAAGTGATGAAAATGGTTAATAGTAGAAGTGTGCATGACATTATGAAACAAATTTTAAAGAAGTTTTGGGTATTTATATCTTGGTGTTTTGCTAACATAAAATAGAACACAGCCTAGAATTGTGTTGGCAGCAATTCACCTATAAAACTTTGCATTGAAGACTTTGAGGTCCGTTCTCAGTGTAACTGCCAGTAAGTAACTTTTACAGTGCATTTAAACTGCCATCTTATTATTTACATTGCTTTGTATTTAAATATTCGTGCTTGCCTCAGGTCCTGAAATAAAGAAATATGAACATTTTTAGGAAAAGGAAAGTTGCATAGTAAGTATTGCAAGTTAAATTCAAATACCCGAGTTTGGAGAGGTTTAAGAGAGTAAATTAATCCTTCAAAAGAGCAACAGTCCCGTTCTAATATTTTTGTTATCTTATTATTCAATAAGGAGCAAGAAGAAACCTATAAAAATCTAAGACTTAGAGACCATCCTGTTAAATTTCCTTTACTTATTTGTTCAGTTCTTCATACATAAAAATTAAACTTTGAGGTGTACTAACAAAGGTACTTATAGTCTGTTCATGGTCAAGTCTTGGGTCTCTAGTATGGAGGTGTCTGGTTACTAACTGGATGCAGGCACTTTCTATCACATATAACTGCCTTTTTGCATTTTCCTTATTTTATTAAGAAAATGTATATGATTTAATATTGTGCTGCAATTCAAGTGCCCTTTCAACACATTTGTAAGGACTGGATGTTAAATTAAAATTATTCCATTCACTATATGTTTTAGAAACACAGTTTATTATGCAGAGAAATGTGCGAGTGAGCAGTTGTAGATGATTTCATTAAGTCCACATTTAAAATGTTGCATTTGCTTTGCTATTTATATACACAGCAAAATGTAGTGAAGGATATAGACTGGACCTGTAGAGGTTAGATCTGTATTTATGGACCCAAAAAATATGTATTAGAATCTAAATGTTCTGTGTTCTGGTTTACATTATATGACCCAACTTTTTATCTATAAAATACTTTTTCTTTTGTGTAAACTAATAACATTTTGCATATTTAAAAACTTCCTGTAGGAATCTTTTTCAACCCATTGTAATTCCTCATTTTATTTTCCCTTATTTTTCATTCCATATATGTGTAGTGCATATGAATTATTATTTTTTGTAAACATACGCAAGCAAGGAATTTGCGAAATGCTGTAACAAAATGTATCATGATTTGTAGTTTATCTTTTTTGTTGCATTTGTCCAAAATTTGAATTTATTTTAATTAAAATTTCTCATCTGTGCTCAGTATGGCTATTATACTGATTACAGATGCATTGGTAATCCAATTAAAATTTTTTCGGAAAACAAGACTCGGTACTAACAGTGAGTAGTCCTTTTATGGTTTCACAGTTATATCATTTTAATTAAGAAATTATAGAAATTGAAAAATCATTTCTCATTATATGCTTTTTTTCATAGGTCACAATTATAATATGTAAACTAATATTCAATAAAACAACTTTTCTTTACAAGCTGGTTTTATTTTGACTTCTGTCCAGTAAATTTGACTTTTTATCTCTCTTTTGTGGATGATTGTTGGAAACAAAGTTGTAAAGTAATGAATATCAACACAAGCAGAATGTAGCTAAACAAGTAATAAAGCAGATCCAGATATTTTCTGACAGTTTTCCCAATTATCTTTGTTTATCCAGCCTCCATTCTGCTGTCAATGTAAACTTAATAACCTAACTTTGATCGTCATATGTTCGCCCCTGTAAAGTTTAACTAAACAATCAAATTTTAAACATTGTACTCTTCAGTAACATGCCAACAAATTGCAATATGGCACCATGGTTCACATCCTGACACTGGTACCAAC